TCCTTCTCACTTTGGAAGGAGTTTGCGTGAACCTGGCTGGCATCCAATTTCATATCTTCTGTCTCTACACTTCACTTGGTCCCCGACTACAAAGGGTGCTGCACAGAGGCTTTCCTTTCTGCTCAGGCTTCGCGACATCCCTCCACTGTTTCTGTAATATATTCTTGACTGCTCTTATCACAATAGGAGTACATATGAAATTAATAAAGAGTCAAGAGGTGAACAAAGGGAGGTAGGTCAAGTTAAGAGGACATATGGAAAGTCGAAATAACAATGAGGATCCCTAAACCAAATAACAGAGGTAATAGTGCATCTACCCTGGCTGCTATCGAAACAAATTTTACCAAGGAAGGAAGGTTTAGTGTGCTGACCAATAGTTGTTTTGAACGCATGAATGTGGTTTAACCTTTGTAAAAATTAACTGAAGGTCATATCTTCTCAGATTTAAACAAACTGAACGGGAGAACATACATTTCTCATTTAACTGAGACGTAGGTAAACTAAGGCATTATTAAATTAAAACATTGCATATTTTGTTGACATGATCAGTAATTTTTGACGTTGCTATCCATTGTGATATCGGATAACGTCTTCAGCGCTAACTTCAATTTGAAGTGAACATTCATAACTTTCCATGGATGACATATCTGCCACTCACTGAGAATGTCTGACTCCAGGGATTTTCCTATGACTGAATACACTTTACGTGATACTCACCATTCCCCGACTTAATATATCACCCTTTGGTTTTGTGAATTAGTCCCTAATGATTGACACATTTTGTCTTTGTATGCTTATGTATATAATTATAAACTCATGAAGGAATCCCTTGAGAACTCTCTTGGGCTACCAAAATTTCCATCCTACATATTGCATCTATTTCCTCGGATTTATTTTGTTTTAATCATTCAATTATGTATCCAAGTCGCATTACTTACTCTCGCGATTATTTAAAATGTCTTCAACCCGTTGATTTACGAGTATATAATAACGTTAAGAAAAAGCATCATGGAGGTTGGCAGAGATCATTAAAGTGTACTCCAATGCATCAGATGACTGTTCCTGTGATTATGAGCACAAATTGCAGGTCATTATCGAACAAGATTAACTACTTGCATTCTCTATTATACTCAAATGTATATTGTAATACTGGTGTAATCACTCTTCAAGAGACTTGGCTCCATGATTCATATGACGATAATTTAGTCTCCTTAAGTGGGTTCACAATCTACAGACAAGACCGATGCAGCTCAAAGAAGAAGAGAGGTGGTGGTGTTGCCACTTTTATTAATTCTCAGTGGTCTACTGCCAACAACGTCTGCTTCAAATTCTCAAATGACAATATTGACTGTATAACTGTAAAATGTCGACCTAAACACTTACCTAAGTATAGCTCCATTTTTGTCACAAATATCTATATCACACCTTGTTGCAGTCCCTCAGAACTATCTATCTTCGCTGATGAATTCACTATTTTTGCTGCTGCTTCGTTTGGTAACTCCTTATCTATAGTGACTGGCGACTTCAACTCCAGCGACTGCAGTTTTATTACATTGCTGGGCCATGAAAATGTTGTTAATTTCCCAACTCGACAAAATACTTCACTTGATTTAGTATTTATAAATGATTCTGGAATATACGAAGCTCGTAAAAGAGCCCCGCTCTTCAATTCTGATCATTGTATTGTACGAGTCTTACCCAAAATTTACGGAAAGTTACACAGTAAAGCCCTCTCAAACTTGTCTAAGAAAGTTGTTCACAGATGCTACTCAAATGAGAACGTACATCATCTTAGAAACATGCTCAGTGACACAAGATGGGATTTGTTTAATGATGATTCACTTGATGACAATATCTCTAATATTACATCCTATCTGAAATTCTGTTTTGAAATCTGTTGTCCAAAAGAAACACTATTCGTCAAATTTGACCGTTTCTCCTCGCCTCAACTTAAAAAGCTTCGTAGAGAGAAGGAAAAACTGTATAAGATGAAAGATAAAAGTGGTGTAAAAAGAACTAACTTCTTAATTAAGTCTGAAATGCAGAGGTTGAATGTAATATATAACCAGAAATTCATGTCCTGCAAAAATCCTTCTAATATGTGGAAACTATTTAAGGAAATCACTGGTGGTAAGCAGATAAACAATATTCCATATTCTTTTGATGTATGTACTCTTAACAAATCTTTTATTTACTCTCCCTCAAATGCCATGCTTCCCAGCATCACTTGTGTTAATAATAGCCCCTTTCCAGGTTTTAACACAAATGATGTTCAAAAGTGCCTCAAGTCTCTAAACCCTTCCCAGAGCTTAGGTCCCGATTATGTACCTAGTATTATTTTAAAAAATGTTCTGATATTCTGTGTCACCCTCTTACTGATCTATTTAACAAATCTTTTTCCGATAATATTGTGCCTGCCGTTTGGAAGGACATTAAAGTTGTACCCATACCTAAATCTTCTACTGGAGCATGTGTCAAATTTAGACCCATTGCTATTACGTCTCCTTTTTTGAAAACTATGGAGAAATTACTTTTACTTAGTCTTGTACCTTCGCTTAAATCCTTTAATGACCCTAAACAATTTGCCTATAAGCACAGTAGAAGCACTTTAGATGCAGCTGCCGTCTTATATCATAACATTGCTTCCAGTCTAGACAAGGGGGCTAAATTTGTTCGTTGCGCCTTCCTAGACTATACATCTGCTTTCGACTCGGTCCCTAGGGACATCTTATTAAATAAACTTGCTGCTAGTCAAACAGAATGTTGGGCTGTTAACTGGTTACATTCCTATTTCTCAGATAGAAAGCAGTACACCGTATATAAAGGGAAGTCTTCCACTTCATTGCCTACTGAAGCTGGTGTCCCTCAAGGTGCTGTTCTTTCTCCTTTTCTTTTTTCTTTCTTCTTGCATGACTTGCCTCACTCTGATGAAATAAACTTTGTGAAGTACGCTGATGATTTAACGGTTTCAATGGCTGTTAACTCCCAGCTAGATTGTACTAAAATAAATAGCTTTCTATCGGAAGTCAGCAAATGGTCTGAGTCTAACGGTCTTAAACTGAATCCTTCTAAGTGTCAAACTGTTGATTTCAGCTTAAGATGTAAACGACAGTTAAAAGAAGTCATCGATTCTCATGACACTTGTAAAATTGACGACAATGATATAGGAATCAAATCAGAAATTAAGTATCTTGGACTCATTCTCTCTTCTGATCTCTCCTGGTCTTCCCATGTCTTAGCAATCTCCAGTAAAATATTCCGCCTGACATTTTACATTAAGAAGTTAAGACACTCGGGTATAACTCAACCTCCTCTTACAGTTCATAAACTCTTGCATCCTACCTATTCTTCTTTATTGCTCACCCTTATTCTTTCCTGGTTTGCTTAAAAAGGACTATGTCACAATTCGTAGAATACTGAAGACTGTCAGTTGGGTGAGTGGTGTCCCAGTGGACCACATAGTTAACGTCGTTGTCGATAGGCACTTGACTTCGTGCAATAAATTTGCTAAAGGGATTTTGTCTGACTTGGAGCATCCGCTTTACCCTCAGCTTTCACCTTGCATCTCCTCAGGTAGAACAAGGAGTAACTTCAGAAAACTGTATGCTCGCACGTCTAAGTATAAGAATTCTATGATACCATACTTGGCACGTATTTTATGTGATGAAAATAGTGTCAGGCAAGAATTAACTAACCTTTTTTCATCTAGTAAATAAACAATTTCCTCCATCCATCCTTATATACCTTCAAGTTTTACTTTTATTACTTCTATTATATTTATGGTCCTGTTACTTCTCTGTTTTACTCTCATAATTGCAAACACCAACTTATCTCCATGACGGCTGTAATCTTTGTTTTTCCCCTCACCATATCATGTAAAGAGAACATTATATTCAATATTTTTAAACATGTTAGGATTTCTATACCACATTGCCAATACTGTGTGACACAAGCCAACGGCAATTTTCACTTGTATTCTTATTATTATTACCCTAGCTGTTATCATTATTATTGCTATTTCCATTTTATATGCTGCATGTTTTTGACACTACCTCTATTGTAAATGTGGAAAATTTTCTGTGTGATTAATTTTATTTATAATTTGAGGAAATTAGATGCAATATTGTGATTAATGCTGAAAATTCCATTCTGTATCACAAGTACTGTTTTTGGAATAAAGTAAATCATTATTATTATTATACTTCTCTGTTTGAGACTTTCACTTTTTTCTCTCAGTTGAACTGATCTTCAAAGGTGTTCATGTGAATTGATGTAAATGAATGTAAGTTGAAATACTCAAGTGGTTTATTATTTCCATATGAATAAGTAGTTAAGTAGACTAAACATTTGCAAAGAGGCTGCATTCGCTTACCGTTTGAGTACTTTAACGAAACTTCTGCAAAACAAAATATCCCTAGTATTTGTTAATGTATATATGTCTTGTTACTACAATAATTAGAAGTTTACTTAACAACCTCTCCTCGTTAACTGATGGGAAATGAAGCAACGTTTCACATCGTCATACTGTGAAATGTTGCTTTTCATTGTAATCATATAGGTAGACATTCATACATTTTCTTCCCTTAATAAGTTTCAATAGACAAAGAAAGGAAGATCATTCAATTTCATAGGTTCTCATCAGCTGCACACTCTTCTCTGAAATTACAATGGCTCTAAATAATGACAATAACATACGACTTCAGTGTTTGATTAGTAGTAAAAAAAAGACAATAAAAAATCAATCTCTCACTCCCTGAGTGACAGCATTTTGTTCAAATTGATTAAACATTTATGCTTTCAGCTCATTGAACAAGTTACCAGTTTTATGAACTATAAACGCCTTGATTTGCCATTCTCACCAACAAGCTTACACTGTTTAGTGGATTTCTCAATTTTGTATCTTCCCCTCAGCCACTCCCCTCTTTTTCTGCTTTGAAAGCATAGGAATTAGCGGTAACTTAAACTAAAAATTGTAAATAGTTATTTTTCGGATGGGTTGATTATAAAATGTTTTCTTTACTACTACTACTACTACTACTACTACTACTACTACTACTACTACTACTACTACTACTACTACTACTACTACTACTACTACTACTACTACTACTACTACTACTACTACTACTACTACTACTACTACTACTACTACTACTACTACTACTACTACTACTACTACTACTACTACTACTACTACTACTACTACTACTACTACTACTACTACTACTACTACTACTACTACTACTACTACTACTACTACTACTACTACTACTACTACTACTACTACTACTACTACTACTACTACTACTACTACTACTACTACTACTACTATTCAAACACTGAAGCATGTTAGTGTGATTATTTATAACCATTGTGATTTTTGGTAGGAGTGTGCGGCTGATGAGAACCTGTGAAATTGATTGACGACCTCATTGTATTCGTGAACGTATATGCGATAATTGACCAACTCCGAGAGGATTATATCTCCATTGAGCGTAGCTTATTTTACCATATTAGTTTGTTTATCAGATGTATGACACAGAGAAACAGTATCATTTATTATTATTATTATTATTACATAGAGAATAGTTCAGCTATACCACTCACTATATGCAGTTACACACACAGCCATAGAATAGGCTGGATGGGATAGGATGACAGTTTTAAAATCCAACTAATATAACAGGGTGGAGGGAGAGATTATTAACGGAAGCCTCGTTTATCGAATCAGCTAAGAGAGAACACGTGTAACAGGGTTGATTCAACATCTGTCCATGCGGATATCTGGAAATTTCTACTACCCCTTCGACAAATAGGAGAAGACAATGAAAACTATTGAACTCAAGTTTCAAAGTCGCGTGATTATAATTGATATGAAAATGAATCGTATTAAATTTAGTTCGAAAGTCATCCAGTAAATAATACTGTCACTTCACTTTGTGATACATCTAATAAACAAACTAATATGAAATTACTTACTACCACAGTGTCCAAGTTTTACACACATATTAGCCTAGTTTACTGTATCTGATAGCTGATGAATTTACGTCAGTGCGTACAAAGACAGAACAGGTTTTATCGATAGATGACTTCCCAGTGTTACGAGTTATATAGCTAATAAGAAGAAGCAAAGTAAATATACCTGAAGACTTTGACTAGACTCTAATGACGAGTGTGATGTGTCTAGTCTTTTGTTTGGTCCAGACTAAATTCTATCAGTCAGCTTTGCAATGTGGCCACCATTAAAGGTAGCTAGTTAGCCATCACTATGCACATTGATTTGATAGCATTAGATGATTGCGAAATATCACGAATCCTAGGTCCAATGCTTCATGATTTGTGTCTCAAGCTATCTAATATCATCAAATCAGTGTGCACAGTGATGACCATATAACTTTAATGGTGGTCGCATTGCAAATCTGATTGAGAGAATTCAGTCTGCACCAAACAAAGGCCTAGACACATCGCATAGTTACCAGTGTTCAATCAAAGTATCTGATTCTGTCCTACAGGAAGGAGGTCATTCACGAACTCGAATAGCTCAGTGATAACATCTCTGATTGCAACACTGTTTGATGCGGGTCCAAATCTCCGAAGAGACGCGTTTTCTTTCAGGGTTTCAAATACGCCTTGTTGACGAGTGCCAAATAGCATGAAACATAGGTCCAAAGCTTCCTTCTGTTTGTCTTCAGCCACATAATATACTTAAAGACTATAGTGGCAATCGGGTGGTCACATGCTGGCAGTTAATGATATTGGAAATAGTATATTTAATTAAGACTTACGTGACACACTGAATATTTGTTTTACGATATGACACCTTTTCGGCTACAGTCCTAGTGTTTACTACGTGACTTCATGAAGCCAACGTGGTACTGCACCAACATTACCGAATTTAATGCGATCTGAATCACTTTTGAAGTCTTCTTGTGCCCAAATTTCTTTTAACTCAGATTTCCACTTTAAATAACCAACATAAACACAGTAATTGCCGAGCATTGTTTTTGTAGGGATTGTGTTTGATTACTCGGCGGGTCTCACCATGAGCTGAGCGAATTGGCAGAAGTTATAATTCATAGGCCATTGGATCGGGAACCAGTGGCTTAATGGACTTGAAACCAGAAGGTCCTTTGTTCTAGCCCCCGTGGATACGTACTGCTAAAGAGCCTCACAATAGGACGAAACTGCTGTCCAGGATTTCCATGTTTTCCAGTGGATCTTTAACTGATTTCACCTCATGATGAAATCCTCGAAATCGTCTGTCGTACTTTTGAAATGTAACTAAGTGTCCCTAATTCACAGTGATCTTCTGTTACCGAATTAAAGATAAAATTCCTTTCCTGGGAAAGGTTCTACCTAACGATCCCAAGTGCAAGCACAATTCAGTTCTTTAGCATAGGTGCCTTGGTATAATATAATTCCATATTAGATAAGGTCATTTGATGTAATACACAGTGATACATTATAATTTACTGGGTGAAGTTTCCCATGCAATATACTGCTCATAATAATATCCCTCAGCACGAAAAGTATGATACGGATTTTCGACTCCAATGTGAAGTTATTGCTACCATACGGATCAACGACTTGCAGCCGCGTCACGACGGGCACTTCGAAAAAACTCCACACATTAATCAACAGCTGTCTTCGCTCAGTACCACTCAAGGTCAGAGACTAGAAAACATCCTCAATAGTGAAAGATCTCTGGGAGCGAGCCAACCAGGGACTAATTGTGCAATAAATATGCAGGAAGAAACAGAGGTGGTTTGAGCATACTCTAAGAAAGCCATCAAGTGAGTGACATCACATGCCAGGCCGTTGCTTGAATAGAACCTGAATGGGGAGTGGAGAGTTTGTCGTCCGAGAGTGAGGTGATATGGAGGAGGTCATGGGAAGAGGAGAAGAAAGCATGCGGACAGACATGGAGGCAGCTGAAAACTCTGACAGAGAACTGAAGGCAATGAAGACGTGCGACTGAAGCCTTATATTTCTCTAGGAACTAAAGGAAACAATAATAATAACAATAATCGTATCAGTGTGTTCACACCTTTTCTTGGCTTGCTTCTCTTTCCTCTTGATTTTTTATAGCAAATTTCCATATATCCGGTAGACAAGCTGAGTCATTTCGTGTTGATTCGGTGACCAACCCCTCTTTTTACATGGAATCACAACAGGATAAGACAAGGTAAATATTAATTATTAGGATAATTGGGCGAAGAGGGAGATTAATCACTCAATCTTCTTTGTTCACTGAATCAACACAAAACACTTACAATCGAGATGGTGTAATGCCTCTACTGGATATACGTAGAAATGTAATAAACAAGTAGAAGAGGAGAGATACATAAAAACAAATCATGAGGCTCTATGAATTCATTGATATGATTATGAGCAATTATTTGTGAAGGGAATGTCATCTATTAAAATGATAAATAAATACTCTATCGTTTTATATTAGTATAACTGAGAAACTCGGGCGTTATGGTAGAATGTAAATGCATATTAAATGAATGTATTTGAAATGACACACAGTAATGCAGTAATAACAACTGGATGATGTTTTGAGTACAAATGTTTGGTGATAAGCATAGCAATTTAGCCATATGGCTTCCTAATTTGTCTTCTTTTCTTTCTCTCTCTCTCTCTCTCCTACTCCTCGTTGTTGTTTGTTGCCACTTTCTATACCTCCGGGATAAGCGTTGTGTCAAAATCATTGCAAGCTTGTAATGTTGAATTAATATACAAAGATTCAATTATTAACCTCTCTGTATCTCCACTGCCTAATATTAGATATGACCTATTCGCCATATTATCTAATCGCGAAGTGGCTGCTAGAAATATTTGGACCAGTGAAAGAAAAGTTGTCGAGATACAACCTCCGCGACACATTCAACTACGTGGATTCAAGTAAAAATGTCAACCTCGCTAAGAGAATATGGTCTCCCTAGACGTCGTCTCTCTCTTCACCAGTGTTCTACTGAGAGAAACTAAACGTTTTCTGTTTGACTTCATCCAATGCAACAGCACAGATGTCGGTATACCGATCCATTATCTAAAGGAGCTGTTACTACGTTGTACCTTGAACATCTACTTCAGAGTCAGTGATCAAGTTTACTGGCAAACAGATGGCGTAGCAATAGACTCTCCACTCAAAACCCTCCTAGCTGAATGCTTCATGGCCAACCTCGAAAACAACCTTTTTTCATCAACTATCAACGACCTTCATCTCTACAAGAAATAAATCGATGATACTTTCATCATTTGTGATGAGAACCTAGACCTTGAAAACTCGCTTCAAACATTAAACAATACCCACCGAAACATCGAATTTACTGTTGAAGCCGAATTCGACGGAATGTTCGACTTCCTTGACGTCGATCTGAAAAGTGACGCTGAAAACTCTCTGAAAAGGTCCATATACAAAAAGCCGACATGGACTGGACAATCCATCAACTCTCAAAGCTGCGTTCCCCTAAGCAGAAAAAGGAACCTGATATACGCTCTCTCCTTGAGGAATCGGAAGGTATGTAGCGAGGAGGTGATTGATGAATAAATAAGTAATACCCGAAGAACCCTGTGATCAAATTAGACTTCCTAACAAGTATAAACAATTATTCATCACATTCGATGTGATTCCACTAGATTTAGTATACAAACATCCTCTCTATACTTGTTATTTCTACATTTCTAACCCCTTAATCGCATAATACGTCAATCTTCTCAGCAATTAAGATGTTACTTTGTTCGAGCTTAATTCCTCTACTTGTTTAATATGGAATTTTAATTCCTAATTGTAATTCTATTAGTCCCACTCTTCACCAGAAATTATTCTGGAATTTTCCCCCCTATTTATTATAAATACACGAATGTACAGCATGGTTGACAGCGACTTCGACGAAAAGAAAATTTTCTTCGCTGCAACAATCTTTCCATTCCATATGATCAAATGTTGATACTCCGTGATTTTGAAAAATAATTTAGAAGAAAATAGTTCATGTTAATGATGAACTAGCAGATGGCATTATTATAACTGTTCCCTTATGTTCTGAGTGGAGTGCAGGCCTTCAACAGCACATCTCCACATATTGTTATAGTATAATTTTTATTCCACATAATTTATACCCTTCATGCATACATTATCTCAACACTACGAGGCCTTATTGTATGTGAAATTAACTCTCTTCTCGATATATGCCTCCACCTGTTTTATTTCACACATTCGTTATTTCATTATGAACCCCTCTCTTTGCAGTCTTAGTATCTCCTGTTTAAGACAGACCACTTTGTACTAGCCACTTACTCACCCGACACCTTTTATAACCTTGAAGTGACTTGTCAATTTTTCTAC